GCATGCTCCTTTGGTACCAAAAAACATGTCTCTCTGATAGTGTAAGATGTTCTGTTTGTAATACTCTGAATGAGGCACACTGCACCAGTGTTAAATGAAGTTGAGATGAGTTAAAAAAAAGTTTGCTAACCATAGCATGGGAAATAGAAAAAGAATCAGAAAGAAAGCACATCGGTAATTTGCTGAATTTGCACGCCAGACAATACATTACTGGTTAAATAATATGACCGGCCATACATGTAAAGGAAGTATTTACCTTTATTACTTTTGGCATCAGAACTGTTGATATTTGGTTGATATTATATTGCTTGAACCAGTAACTGTGCTTCATCTATATATGTTACAGTAAAGTTGTGTGAACATGGATTTTGTAGAAGCTCCATATCGGGATTTGGAGTCACATAGTCAAAAAACCTGATACTCCAATGATTAATTGCGTTGTCAGAGGTACTGCCCTCCGGATGAAACATTAAACTGAGGACTTGTTTACCTGTTCAGGTGGATGCTAAAAATCCCATCTGAAAAAAAAAGGGAGTTTCTCTCAGTGTCCTGGCCAACAATCCTTCAAACAAAATTGGACACGCACTCCATGACTGTTTGTGGATCATTGCTGCGCGCGTTTCACCCACAAAATACACAGACAATCTATTTTACAGGACACTCTGTGAAACGCTTTGAGACATCTCAATTACATCATAAGGCGCTGTACCAAATGCAAAGATTATTATTATTATTTGTAATTAATTCCATATTTATTAAACCATATTTGTTTTATATGCATGTATTGATGTAAATGTAAAGAATTGCACATAATAAACTAATTCTGATGTAAAACAAATGAATAATAAATGTGTGTTTTCTCAACAAAGGTAGATATTAGTTAATTGTTCAACAAAATCATTTATTTTATGCCAGTGTATTCTATAATTTTTTTCATTGATGTGTAAAGTGTGTAAACTCAATTCAAACCATTTAGATGGGTCAACATACCGGAGTTGTTGCGGAAGTCAGAGTAGGCAGAGAGGGTCATGGCATGGATGTGAGGTGGAAAGGATAGTAGAAGGTCAAACAAGATGCCAAGGTTCTGGACTGGCTCAGTAAGGTGAAGTGTGCATCCTTGGGACGTGATGCGGTCAGCACCTTTACTCAAGCATCAGATTAATCTGATTCTGTTTGGGTAGGTGAAATCTGATTGTGCAGATTAACCCAAATTGACGCAGATTTTCACTAAATTCGACAGAGATTAATCTGGAATTGATTCAATACTAATAAAAAGCCCTATTGATTATAAGCCTTTTAAATGCTGATTTAAAACACTTTTGACTTCTCTGGTTTATGTTTGAGCCCAGCTCTATGCGAGTTTTACTATACTAAGTTTATTTTTTACAAGTTACTAAGAAAACCAGGAGGCTTCTATCCCAAGCAGTTTGAGTATGGATGTCTCAAGACCATATTTCTTAAATGCTTTCCGGCCTGACACTCCCAACTTCAGCTGGTCCTGAAATCTGCAGTTCAGATGTTTTCTGCATGAAATTCTTCATGCTCACCACCATATCGCTTTTCTTTTGGGCCCACAAAATACACTGTCAATCCACCATACAATATATTCCGTGAAGCGTTTAGAGACAACAATGTGCTAAAATGCTATATCAAATGCAAGGATCATTATTATTATTATTATTATTGTTATGCTAGCCAGGCTCCAGAAGATTGACTTCAAGACCCTTTTCCTGAGGGTCTTGTTTGATATCAAAAAGGTCACCCAGCATTCCTTTTAGGTAAGATCTGTTAAGCCAAGTTCATTCAAACAAAAATACCATTGAAGTGCGCTTATTTCAGCAGTCAACCGTCAACGCCGCTAAACCTTGTGCTGCGAGTCTGAAACAGGGTTCTTTCTTAGTTACTTCAGTTATTCAGGCTTTTGATCTTCCATCACCGTCTGTTGGCGCCATTCCGGACTGCTTCCCACTTCTCTTTTTCTGCTACTTATAGTCTTGATTAAAGGTCTGACTTGCTATTGCATCCCATATTTACATATCCAATCACTTCGTATTTCACCTCGCCTTATTCGGTGGTTTGTCGACCAACTGCCTCGTCCTTCCTAGGTCCCCTCTACCCACTTCTGATACAGTCACGTACTCAGGTTAATCATTTGGCTTGGTGCCAGCCTGACTGAGTCTCTGCGAGGTCTTCCCCTTGTCCTGTCTAAGATAAGAGATTGATCGGTTAAGGGCTGTATCTGGTGCTTGTTACCTTGTTCTGTGGAATCATTAGTACATTCCTTTTCAGTGACTGGTTATTTCTTATCAGTATCCTGGGATGGTACCAAGGTCCTCTAGTTTAAGCAACTTGCTCATTAATTGCTATTCTTGAGGGTTGCCTTCTGTCACTTGGCAGGCCCTGTCAGAATACTAGCGACTTATTGCTAAGTCGAGATCCTGTGTCGACCGGTACCTTGGACCATTACCTCTGTGGGCTTGTTGTCATTTACTGATAAGAGGTGACCCCCTGCCCTTTTCCAAAGCTGTCCTGTATTCTTTCAAAAACAGAGAAAATCAGATGTGTCCTATCCCATGACTGTCAGTACTTTCTCCATTCTACATTTGTTTAATGTTCATTATTATTAGACTACAACTTCTATAATCTAACAGTCTGGAATCCTCAAATCCTTCCATACATTTGCTCTCCCCTATCACTGCATTCTCCTCTCACCACTCATTCTCCCACTCAGTCCACTCTGGATACTTGGGACTTTGCCACTTCCATCCCCAAACTTTAAGCTACTCTGCCCCCTTCAAAGAACTTTTAAAAGCCATGTCTATGGTATTCCAAAGATAACAGTGATAGTTTGTATTTATGTGGCTCCTTTCTGTAAACTAAATGTCTCAAATTGCTCTAACATTGTTTAGAAACAAAAGAGAATGCAAACGCAGCAATCAATCTGTGCCAGCGAGATCTGGATGTTTTATTTTTGTCAGTCTTCTCCCTCCTCTTCTGAGGGCATCACGCTCACGCAACTATTCTTCGTGACTGGTAGGCCAGGCTACACAGCTCCACAAACAGATAATTATATCCTGACACAGAATGGAGTTAACCGGAGTGTATGTAATTTGCGCGTAATTCGTAAGTCGGGGTAGTTACTGAACGTTTTGCTGCTGATGTTGGGGCGGAAGTGGTAAAGTCCAAGTTTACAGAGTGGAGTGAGTGAGTGAGAGAATGGGTAGTGAGAGGAGAATACAGTGGTTGGATGGAGCAAGTGTGTAGAATATATAATTGTAAAGCGGGTTATTATCATTCACATAAATAACCTATAATTAAACAAGGAGCACAGATCCAGAACATAAACACTTTACTGTGTATCCAAGTTCGGTAGGCTCTGATTCCTACTCTCCTTAATTCTGCACAATTAATAAAGTAAACAGAGCGGTACTGTTGATGTAAATTACTACCAAACAATAACACAGAACTGCGGCTTTCGTGGCACTGTTTGTAATTAAATCTGGTGTTCTGAGTCATGGAAAATCTAGAAAAGAAATCCAATGTAAACAATGTGATATTGACATAAATTTTCCCCCTTAAATCTTGCTGCTGTTTTTCTAATTCATGTCATGAGCTGAAAATTGATTTGTGATATATTCCACTGTGACAAAGCAGTTGAAGGTGACGTGATCTTTTTGTCATATGTTGTGGGTGTAATTGATAATTAACTGGACAACTAATCTGTAAGTAAGACTTCTTTTATTTTTTTATAGTACCAGGGCACCAAGAAAAAGCTCCTTTCTCTCTTTGGGTAGTGCGAATGGATCTGAAATGTTCATTTCACAAACTCTGCCCCTTTGTGTGGACAAATTCTAGGTTTCCCCTGAATTTTTTGATTAACTGAGTCCACAGATGATCACAGAGATGGTAGACTTTACACAGTATCTTTGGTATAGAAGTGTGAATGAAAAAAGGATAACTATTACAGCTAGAGTTGGTGATACTTTGGCTGTATGTTGACTGTTACCCTGAGACAGGTCTGACCTCTCTCAGTTCCCAGGACAGTCTAATGTGTTGAACCTTTTGTTTTTCTTGTTGTTGTTGAAGACAGAATACATGAATAATGTGGTGATTAATGCATGGTTTTACTGTTGGAAGTGATGCATCATCCAATGAGTATTTCTTGCTTTCAAAATAACTCATTCTTTTTTGCAGTGTATTTAATATTTAGTTTTCCAAATGCCTACAAAATAAGCAAAATATTTGGTTGAAAAAGTTATTAATAATAATAAACCTTGCATTTGATGTAGCGCCTTATTGCATATTCGAGTCGTTTTGAAGCGTTTCACAGAATATACTGTAAAATTAATTGACGTATATTTTGTGGGTGAAATTAATTATACTGAATTATGCAAAGTTACCTAAATGCCAATGTTATGTATACATGGTGTCAAATTAATTACATATTTAACAATGATATGAACATTTGAGCTATAAAATATATGACTATATCATTTAACATTTGCAAAAAGCATTATATTTTCTATAGGCTTCCAATTAATGCAGAGTTAAACATGTTAAAATGTGGACTTCACGTTGTTCTCATTTTGATTTTGCTCTGCCCAGAGTTGAACTTGAACAAACTTGCCAGTGGCAATCTTTGTAGACAATAGATTTGGTAACATTTCCAGGAAATCTGCCTGCATTATGTTATGCATCTAAACAATGAGTCATAGTGCGTGACTCACAAAGGATCTGACTTAATATCTTTAAAATAATTCCAATAGTGTAGCTTTAAACAAATAAAATGAATTACAGTACTACAAATAGGATAGAGTCTAGGGGATCGTATAAAGAGTTTTGGGGGAACTGTTTCATATAGATGGTAGTGAGCACTTGGAACTTACTGCCCAAAGGGGTGGTTGAATCAGATAGTATTAATAATAATCCTTGATCCTTGCATTTGATATCGCGCTTTATCACGTCTTTGAGACGTCTAGAAGCACTTCACAGAATATACTGTAGTGTGAATTGACTGTATATTTTGTGGGTGATTGTTTTGTGATGCTCAAATGTTCACATCAATGTTAAAGAAGTAATTAATTTGACAGCTTTTAAGAGGAAGCTATATGAACTCATGGGAGAGATGGGAATAGAAGGGCACGAGAGGGAGTAAGGAGACCCAGACTAGTTGGGATGAATGGCTTGTTTTCATGCTGTACAATCCATGTAAATCTATGTACAATTCCCTGTTGATTTAATAAGAATTAGCAACATTATTATTTTCTCTCCATTTACCTTTCCCTCTATTCCAAAAATATGATAGTTCCTATGAGACTTATATTGTAGATTTAACAAAGCTATATGTAAAAAGTAACATTGTCATAGTAACAGTAACAGTAATGCTAGTGCTTTCAACTCACATTTTAACTGAGAAATACTGTAACCAAGACATTTAAAAAATGGTCACTTTTAAATTATTATTTCATACAGTTGTGTTCTTAAAAATAAATTATAATTCACAATCGGTGTGCTTTTTCCTCCACCAGGTGGACTGTTACTCAATTATAATTAATGATTTAATTAGAATTTAAATATAATTAATGATTTAATTATTTAATTGGAATAATTTTGCCCTAAATGTGCAGTAATTAATTGCAGTAAATAAAGTTGCATGTTAACTATAACATATCTGAACCACTGACCACTTGTTATTTTATTGAAAAAAAGCTGACCAACAAATACTCTGTGCATATGAATATAAACATTGATTACATTTGAAAATAAAGCTACGTGATTAACATAACTTATAGAAATGTTAAGTGAAAGAAATATCTATGTCTGAGACCAATGCTGATAGTTTACTCTGTATCTTGCTTTCATAACCCATCGATCCATTGAAGCTTCTTTGCAGTGAATCTGTGGAAGGCAAAAGAGAGACAGTAATTGATGGAAAGTCAATCATTTTATACAGTATACTCGTTCTGGTGTCAAATGCCTGCTCTGTTCATTTGGTTTCTTAATAATAATAATAATCCTAATAATTGTAAAGTGTTATACTATTTTTTACCAGAATCACTGCCCATTTGTTACCTCATAGTTGTCCAGTGGTAGCCAGTTGACAATACGTTGGGACAAATATCCAAGAAGAGTAAATAGATTAATAGCTACTGTAATATGAGACAGTAATGACGTTTAAGTGCCTTTATGAGTTTTTTTATGATGATTATTACATTCATAAAAAGAAGTACAGTACATAGGAGTTCATACTATTACGCATTTGGTTTTGAATACTATTTTGGCTGCTTTTGGAAGTATTATCTACTTCAAAGCAATATCTCTCGAGACTGAAAATCATGAGAAATTACAGAAAGATATTTTAGCCTTTAAACTAAAACATCATACGTGCAAGCACTATTAGTCAGAACAAGCCATGCAAGCTAACCATGAGCAAGACTAAATGCATGTAGTTGACATTTTACTAAACCATCTCACCTTTGCTGCTTGATCCAGAAATAGAGAGCAAGAATGCATAGCACTAATGTCACAGGTATCAAAGCCATAAGGAGTAGCAGAGCTATTGGAGTGGATTCCCCCACTGGTTTTGCTGAAGTGAAAAAAACAGAGAGGAAAAAAAGAACAGCAGTATTAAACATGTCACACCTAGCTCTATTAAATCACTTCCACACATTGTATAAATATGTTACCATCGATACATATAAACAAACCACTATGGGTGTTTACTGAACTCTTATTCCAGCGCTTTGGGATGTCCTCCCGACGTGAAAGACACTATACAAATATAATCTTGCTGTTGTTATTAACATGAGATCCAAATACACCAGATTTTCCTTAAGTGTCCAAACAAAGGGTCCCTGTCATGTATGGCTCAGTTCCGCACTTCTTACCAATTAAGCTTCTGGAGAGCAATTCATTCATAATAATAATAATAATAATTCATGACAGCTAAGGTATTGTTTGAAAAGTGGCCCATTTACCATATTTTAATCAAGCAGCCTCGCATAACATCATTCTCAATGTATTTTAGTTCTTTTAGCTCCAATATTTTGGAATATATTTAATGTCTAATAAAAGAGAACTTGTTCATGTGCTGCACTATAATGTGTTCTTAAATATAAACAAATCACAATTCAACAAGGGAAAAGTTAAAGTTAACTTTTTACCAAGAATACTAACATTGTCAATTGAATCCATTACAAATTCAATAGTATCTCAGAAAGTTTTATTCTCCTGCTGTTATTCCTAATGGTAGAATACTGCTGAATCAAACCTATGAATAGCAATCATACCTCCCGAACATTGGACAGGGCTCCATTCACTCCAGAAGCCGCGATCAGCACAAAACATATTAACAGTGGCTCTCAAACGGAAACAGTATTCAATTTGGGGGTTCACATCCGAAAGTATGAAAGTAGTTTCTTCGATAATTAGTTCAGACTGGAAACAAAACAGAATAAAAAGTGCTAACAAATGAAATTGCTGTACAAATAGACAAAATGTGCCTTTAAAAAAATCTTTGCAGTTTGTTTTTATTAATCGTTAATCGTTGTTAACTCTGTTACTTTATGCAGATGGTGCTGAGATAAATGACACAATCTAAAGAGAGGTTATCAGATTTCAACAGCTGAAATAAATGCGTCCAGTCAATTTAGGGCATGCATTTACAAGTCTATTCTGAGTTTCAGATGACAGTAAGGGCAATTGTCTATTCCTCTGGTTGCACAAACCAGATTATATTTCCTAGCACATTCTTACTATATCTGAAAGGGTTCAAGCAGCAACATTAATGCAAGATTCATGCAAGATCTAGTTAGAATGCTGTGAGATAACCTCACTTCGATGTGCTTGTGCCAAGTGTTATTGCTGCTGGGCATGTGCTGGTTTAGATTTGCACAAGATCATATTCATGTGGCTCTGCAAAGAAGCCAGTACATTTTAACTATTTTCCAAACAACAATGGGTTGTTACCAAAGGAGTTCTGCAACCTTATTCTCATTATTATTAGAAAGTTTGTCTTAAGATAATTATTTGGGGACGACAAGTTTACAGGGCTATGGGGAGAGGGTGGGGAAGTGGGATTGATTTGGATAGCTCTTTTCAAAGAGCTGGCACAGACACGATTTGCTGAAGGGCCTGCTTCTGTGCTGTATAATTACAAAGCAGGTTGAGTTTAGGACTTAAACGTGTTCAGATGAATGTTTTTCTTACTTTCCACTCAAAGTCTCGTTGTCTGAAATCCAACTGGTATTCAAAGCAATGAGGTGGTATTTTCCCTGAGGGAGGCTCCCATTCCAGGTAAATTTCATCTGTTTTTGGCAATGTTAAATTGATCTTGTCAGGAACCGCTGGCTTAACTGGAAGGGAAACAAACCATTGAATTTTATGATAATGGCCCAAAACATCTACTTCATTCAAGTTAAATATCTGGAAGAAAAGGTATTGTGATTCTCCATAAGGTTGAAGGAATTTGCATTTTTCTAGCATCTACCTCATCAAAACATTTCAAAATATTCGCCCACAAAAACACAACTCGCATTTATATAGTGCCCTTCCTGTGGGGTAGCATCTAGGAGCACATACAGCCATTGTTTACACTATATCCTATACAGCACTTTGAGACCTCATCCTGATGTGAAAGGCGCTGTACAAAATGTAAGGATTATTATAAATTCTTGGCAATCATCGTAATTGTTTTTGTTGGAAAACGGTCCTGCTATTAGCATTTACAAACAGGTTTAAGATAAATGACTGTTCTGGTGTGTCACCCTGTACGCTGTGAAGGGCATTATATAAATGCAAGTTGTTGTAGTTGGGAACCAGAAAAAAAATCCCTTCTCCTATTGAACAGTCCTGCTGAAAAGTCCACATGACTTGCCTTACCTAGATCCTGAAGTTGAAATGTGAAGTATGCCGGACTGACTGGCTTGTTCTCAGAGGAGCCATTTACACATATGTTGAAGTCATTGAACTGAATCAGATCATCACTGTAAAAATGGCAGCCAATCTTACTCTCCTGATTTTCAATATAATTCTTGCACTGTTCTGCCTGCTCTAATTCTTGATGCCTGTAAGATTTAAAAGTTAATTATTTTTGGGTTAGTTTGGGTTTCTGACACGAATGGAAACCCATTACCGTGCTTAAAGCTGATCATGTACACGAATGAACATTTGAACGATTATTAGACAATTATTGAATTATTAATCTTGCACCACACATACTTCATAATTGTCAGAGTAGCTTATTGATTGAATTATTACACAAATCTTTGTTTGAAAACCTTTCAAAATACATAATATTAAGATACTATCAAACAGTTTCCATTTAAAAATTACATTCCTGGAAATGCTTTGATGAGAAAATAAACACCACTTATTCAGAAATAAGGAAATGTTTCTATCTTATACATTTCTCCCAGTCTACTGGTTGCATGGTTTACTGGGGTTAATACTCTGTTCACTGTACGATCACAGAAAAAACAAGACCAGAACTGAGTACAAAGAGGCCTTTTTTTTTATAATTCCCTCAATTCCAATCTGGATAAAGTTTTGCCCCATTTTTGCTGCATTTATGTAATACAACATAGTTGTAATGGTGAAACAGCACATTAAGCATAGGTTAAAGAGTATCAGGCCGATGCAGCACCGAAGCATGTTTGATGTTGACGAGTATGATTCTGCACAATCCTAAAACTCTACTCAGCAAATACGTTTAATTCAGGTTTCCTATTTCAAATCTCTCCACTACAGGTAAATGTCAGCACACTCTACATTACACCAGTAGTTTCCTACTGTCATATTGTCGGTGGAGAAACAGCCAGCATGTGTAATTACTAAGCGAGAGACCTGAGTTCAATTCCAGGCAGGGTGAAACCTTGGGCAAGTTTCCTTACTCCACACGCCTAATAATAATCCCTCCAAAACCCAAAACAATAATAAATTGGTCAGTTTCAATCTGCGACTGTTTGTGGGACATTGCTGTGCGCAATTGGCTGCCACGTTCGTCCACAAATATACAGTCAATTCACTTTACAGTGTGTTCTGTGAAGCACTTTGGGACGTCCTCCTGACGTGAAAAGCGCTATATCAAATGCAAGGATTATTATTATTATTATTATTATTACTGATAAGACTCCAGCAGTCCACCAATGCACACTCTGAGCTCTGGAAGGCTTGCCAACCTGTGCCTAATGCTCTCCAGAATGAGGTAAACAGGCAGTGTTGCTTCAGTCAGAGATGAGATATTCCATTACAAAAGTGAAAATTTTGATGTAAGAGTGTGGAAATTCCATGTGGAATTTCCAATCGGTTTAAGATATCTTGGTGATGGGTTTCTGCATATGTCAGACAACCAGCTCACCAAAGAAAATCAAATGTGGTGATTCATCAAAACATTTCCGATCTGTTGAAATCAGATTTTTTTTAAAAAAGTATTTCATTTCCATACATACCAATAAAACAAGGTGTAACCAACATCGTGTGGGGCACTACTTTGCATTTCCCACACACAGTCCATATATTCCTCGTTGTAAACTATACAATGTAAATCCTTAATTTTGGAATCTGAGTGTCCTATGAATGAATAGAAATGATTATTATCCTGCCATGCCTAGTTTATATCTGATCAGAAGGTAATATTATCAGGCTTGTAACAGAGGGAGCAGACACATTCCCCCTCTAAGTACCGTTCACTTGACATCTACAACAACAACAAAATTACATTTGTATAATGCCTTTCACGTCGGAAAGATGTCCCAAGGCTCTGGACAATCAGTGTTTCGGATCCGAGCTGGGGGTCAGGATTGGGGAGGGGGGAGGACAGCGGGGGGAAGGAGAGTGATCCAAAGCACGGTCAAAGAGGAGGGTCTTGAGACAGGTCTTGAAGGAGGCAAGGGAGGGAACGAGGCAGAGGTACTGCGGGATGGAGTTCGAGAGGATGGAGGCAGAGTGTCTGAAGGCCCCCCTGATAATGGTGGGGCGGGTGAGGTGGGGGACATGAAGCAGGATGGAGCCCACTGAGCGGAGAGAGCAGGCAAGTTGCTAGGGGGTCAGGAGGTTGCAGAGGTAGGGGGGATCAAAGCCACCTGTGTGATGGGAAGCCAGTGGAGTCGGGCGAGGATGGGATTGATAGGGTCACGGAGCCTGGTGTGGGAGAGGATACGGGCTGCAGAGTTCTAGATGATCTGCACCCTATGCAGGGAGGAGTTGGGGAGGCAGACAAGCAAGGAGAATGGATAGATTAGCTCTGATGTATGAATTTCAAATTTGAACAGGTTTTGCCATTAAAAACATTCCACAAATTAAATAAGAAGCAGATTACAACAATAAATTATTTTTGTTTATAGAAGGAAATATGCACTGAAGTTTGCCCAAAGATAATCATTTGATTTATTTATTATTGAGTACATCATTCTACTCCAAACCACAACTAGCATCCTACCATAACTCTCCCTTCGCTCTTTGTCCTTAAATGGTAATAACTACAATTGTTTGGAAATCTGGCACATAGAAATTATTATTACTGTAGCTCAGTGATTAGAGGGCTCGCCTTGCAAACGAGACACCTGGGTTCGATTCCAGGCAGGGCGATATTTGGGCAAGTTTCCTTACTCCACATGCCTAATAATAATCCCTCCAAAACAAAACAATAATAAATTAGTAATTTTCAATCCACGACTGTTTGTGGGACACTGCTGTGTGCAATTGACTGCCGCGTTTTGCCCACAAATATACAGTAAATTCACTTTACAGCATATTCTGTGAAGCGTCTTGAGACGGCTAGAAAATGTGAAACCGCTGTATCAAATGCAAGGATTATTATTATTATAACATTTATATTATTATTACTGATCACTTCAAAGAATAACAGATGAGCATTAAAAAAAAATTCCTGTGGATGCAGCTATTACCTTCCATGTATGCCCTGTATACCAGTTCGGTCCAGTTACTCTGTAGTTCAGTCCCATTGGTACATTGACCTTTTACTAAAGTCCGAATTTTTACATTTATTTCTTTATTAAGGTTAAATCCATCAGTGTATTCCATTCGATTTGTGATTACATTCTGTCGGGGAAATAAATTCAGCATTGATTAAAAAAATCTTTTGTTTTAAAGTGCTCCATCACTGAATAATATTTCTATCTATTCCACATAGATAGAAATTGTTAGCTTTATCCCCCCCCCAAAAAAAGAAGAATTATATTTCATGTTGAATAAATTTCACTTACTTTACAATTTGTTGAGTCTGAGTTACCATAACTCAACATGTATCTGATCACACACAGTGATTGACCGGCCAGGTTTAATGGAGCTTTCCATTGGATATGAAGCTGCCCGAGAAGGCCAAGATCTCTAATCTGCAGATCAATGGGTGGACCAACTATAACAAGAGAAGCATCTTTTAAGTGGAAGATTATGAATGAAACGATTTGCAAAAAAAAGTTGACAATCGTGAAATATTTAGTAACTTTATATAATAATAATCCCTCCAAAACAAAAAACAATAATAAATTGGTTATTTTCAATCCACCACTGTTTGTGGGACATTGCTGTGCGCAATTGGCTGCCGCGTTCGCCCACAAATATACAGTCAATTCACTTTACAGTATATTCTGTGAAGCACTTTGGGACGTCCAGAAGACGTGAAAAGCGCTATATCAAATGCAAGGATTATTATTATTATTATTACTCTCAAAACACTGTCTCTGCGAGTACCTGAAGTCAATTTTGCCGATGTGCCGCTTGCCCATAAAACTAGAGCAAGAAAAGTAACAGTGATGCTATTCAAGCTCATTATTCCACTCTGTCCCGTCATAGTAAGACTCGGTTGTTTCACAGTGGTTCGCTTGCCCTCTGTAAATTGATTAACCTTAATTAAAAAGAGAATATGTAAAATATCCATTGTACAACAATTTGATAGAGCGAGACTGGGATTTCAATGTCCACGATACACACTATAGACATATATATACACACCTGTGGATTTTTTAAAGTTTTTAAAATAGAATATTAAAGTACTTCTGATAAAAAATAATTTATGATTGTCAATACAGGCGGCAAAATATCAGTTTTTAATGATTTAGCACAAGACGTTGAATACATAAGGAGTGATAAATGAGCAATGATGTCATCAATTTGCTCAGAGCCCAAACTGCATGTTAGAACAAACCCAGGAATGACATTAAAAAAAATACAATAAAAACGGAAGTCGTTAGGAACACACAGCGAGCGGGTCAGGGCAAGTCTATGGAGAGAGGAAACCGAGTTTGGGATATCCTCCTGCCGTGAAAGGCACTGTACAAATTTAATTTGTTGCTGTTGATGATGTTGTTAACGTTTCAGGTCGACAACCTTTCGTCGGGATGAAGTAGCACACCTTAAGATGATTTCAAAAGAATGGTAAACCATAAACACAACGCCTCGACGGCGCCTCAAGGTAGGAAATGACAGCAGGCAAATTATATTTCAAAATGGGCAAAAGTAGTGCACAATGTACCAATGCACACTACCATTTCCTCTTGCTGTCATATGCTTTTAAGATGGATACTTTCTCAGTGTCAGTGAGTGGGGCTGTGGAAAACAGATGGATTGTTACCCAACTTGGAACCAAAACAAACCCCCCCCAAAAAATGTTCTCCTCTGTCAAACAGACAATAACTTCTTCCCCCTCCCTCTCCCCCTCCTCCACGCCCCCACCCCCTAACTACACACAATTAAATGCATTAAATGAATTTTTTTTAAAAAATGTACTTTGTGTTAAATATTACACGAAACAGAAAAAAAAACCATATGACATTAAATCAAAAATAAAAAAAAAATGTCTTTTTTTTAAAAATGAGATATTAAGTGTGACATAGCCGTGAAAGGCAATAACAACAACAACAACAACAACAACAACAAATACATACAGAACGGGGTCTAAAAATGTAGCATTTCAATGCAATTCTTTGATAAGGCAGAAGGTTACCTGCAGTCGTTATTGAGGTCGTTGGAAAGACATTACCCCCAAAACTACTGAGAAGGATTGTGCCTTTTGATGCTTCAGGTTGGGACAAATATTGATTCATTCCCCCCACCCCCCACCACCCCTCACCCCCACTTTGCCTGGGAACTGACAATTGTCCAAAAAATACATCTGCTGTTTTTCTGATTCATTTAAAAGACTCTTTTTTTTTTCTTTCCTTTTTTTGGGGGGGAGGTTGGGGGGGGGGGGGGTGGGGGGGGAGTGGTAAAACATCAACAAGAAAAGTCTCAGGATTTGCGAACGACTTCCAACCCCAATTCGGTGGCAAACGGATAAGGTGCGAGTGCTCTCTTGGAGGTTAGTCTCAAGACCCCCCAAAAAATAATAGTAAGTCATAATAATAATAATAATAACGTTGAGTGTCTTCTGTGCAGCGTTGCATTAAGCACAGCACTTGGAAACTCCAACCATCACTCCCAGGTGGAGACTCACTGTTGGGTGGACAGGATACCTGAGCTGATAACTCAGCAAAGATAACTCACTCGACCAGAGGATAAAACTGTGCTACATCGCTATTTGCAACTGCAAACTAACGGTAAGTAATAGTTAGGGCTCTTGGACTGAAATGCATTCCAACACACGCGAATTTAATCCGACTGCACAGCTCTCTCTCTCTCTCTCTCCCCTCTCTCTCTCTCTCTCTTATATATCCACACGACTGACTCTCAAGGTAAACTCGTACTTTTTTTTCCCAACAGTTTATATTTATATTTAAACGGTGGGGGAGGAAAAAAAAAAGTCTATCGATTGCAATTCTATCAAACTGATCACCCACAGAGAGAGAGAGAGAGAGAGGAGAGAGAGAGAGAGAGAGAGAGTGAGTGGGAAACGTTTTCCACTGAATTGCAGCTGCTGTTGCACTGTTAAATGATTTTAATTCACAAACTGACTGTATTATTGCGCTTCATCCTCACCAAAGAGGGTCACGACAGCTAGAAACTGGGTTCAACTTTGGAGCCAATATTTTTCAGACGTACTCACCTGCTCTCAGGCTCTCGGTTCGGTGCTCCCTCGATTGATTATTGTATCGTCTGAACCTGAACTGTACTCTGCACAGGATGTGAAATGAATTGAACATCCAACCTCAGTCTCTCCCCGCCTCCATCATCGTCAGCAAAGGTTTTTTTTTTAAAAAAAATCAGAAACGCATCACTCTTCAGATCTAATTATAAGCCCAAACCTCGTCGTTTAGGAAGTGAATAAAGATGCGATCTGTTGCAAAGTTTTAACCGTTTGTTAATAAGTTGCTTTTCTGTTACTACACTCTGCAGAAAACTCTGGGAAGCACTTTGATACCATTCAAGGTCTTGCATCGAATGCAAGGATTGTTCCTCATGTGTTCATCTTCAAATATGGAGTTCTAACATGCAGCCTTTCAATGGAATTATTTAATAAATAATAATAATAATAATCCTTGCGTTTGATATAGCGCTTTTCACGTCGGGAGGACGTCCCAAAGCGCTTCACAGAACACACTGTAAAGTGAATTGACTGTGTATTTGTGGGCGAACGCGGCAGCCAATTGCGCACAGCAATGTCCCACAAACAGTCGTAGATTGAAAATGACCAATTTATTATTGATTTTGGTTTTGGAGGGATTATTATTAGGCTCTGTGTGGAGTAAGGAAACTTGCCCAAGGTTTCGCCCTGTCTGGAATTGAACTCAGGTCTCTCGCTTGCAAAGCGAGTGCTCTAACCACTGAGCTACAGACAGTAGAAGGTAGAGTAGTTATTTGGGTTATTGGAAATGCATCACTCTCAAACTACTGGGATGCAGTGTCTCTGGTGCAGAGTTGGCCCACGAACATCTCTGTAAATGGCGATGATGCTTTTCTGAAGTTCTGATCTATATCGTTTTAGGGATATGGTTCTAGTTAGTGTCAGGTCTCCTACGCCTGTTGCATGGGGGGGTGGGGGTTGCAGAAGAAGAAAAGTCTCAGGGATAAAAGGGATTTCAGCCACCACTTTCAGCCACTGTGCCCCAAAACCCTGGAACACTCTCCCTCAATCCCTCTGCTTTGACCCTTTCCAAGCGCCATCTGAAAACCTTCCTCTTCAACCGCACTTACGGCCACCTCTCCGCCCAGCTCGGAGTCAGGCTCCACCACTGTTAAGCGCTCTGAGATGTTACCCTGCGTGGAGGGTGCTATATCCGTCAAGTCGTTGTTGTAATTGAATAAGCTCTTTGCAGTATTTCAATCCCGGTGCACATATTTCTTCTTAAACATGAGGTGATGAAGCTTTGACTAGTTTATGAATGATTTTAAATTCTAGAATCAAAGCGGAGGAATGGTGCAATATGAGAACTAAAGTTTTACTGAAGAACATTTCAAAACCTGTCAGAGGTGCTTTTTTTAAAAACACATCATTTTTCTCAGTAAAGGCAGATAGCAATGCCAGTAAATGGTTTCATCTTTGCTCCCTGGTGATTTGATCATGTGTATAAAACCATAAGAGTAATTAGGAAACTAATTCGTAAATTACTCACTCCATATTACTCATATTTTGGCAGTTTGCATTATTGTTTAACCCATAATGCTAGAGGTGTGGAGTTAATATACATTTGTAGACAGTAAAGGAAAAATTCAACACATGACCGTCTGAAAAGATGGGGTTTATTTCTTAAACATGAAACAGTTTAGGAAATATACTGCACATTATACATAAAGTATATACATAGTCCCAGGTTGGTCAAATGACTTCATGCATGCAAAATGTAATACAAATTATTTACAAAGACATTTTTGTACGTTTCATAAGAGAAAACATATACACATTTGGGAAATCCTAAGAAAGAGCTGATTTTGTGGTACACAGAATTAAGATTACAGAAATATACAGAATTTTGTGTTAAAAAGTTTTCAAAATAAAACAGTATGTGATACCTACCCAAACGTTGCATGAAATGAACTCCATGGAATAAGTAGGCAATATGGTGTCTGCAGTACGTTTATATTTACATATTTCAGCCAAAATTATATTACAAACAGATTTCCATCTCAAACTGTCTTAATACACATTTTGTGGATTTACATGGAATGATATGCTGCAGCCAAATTTTCTCTTGCAAGGTTTCAAACCTCTTCAACCCCTATCTCGATGGATGGTGGGAAGGTATCCATCCACTGACCCATTTTAAGCCAGTACCATGCAAATTTGTATTAAACTCACTAAACTGATCTAACACATCCATCAATAGTCTCAGCAAGGATAAAAATGTTCAGAATTACAAAATGATTTTTACAATTTGTTTGGAAAGGTCAAGGTACACACTTTAAGTATCTATGTACATTGGCCTTTTTAAAGAATCATAGGACATATTCCTCCCTGAAATTATGGTAGGGTTAGGGTAATTGCGTGGAGTGCATAAATGTTGTGATCCTAGTTTGATGTGGAGTTCAAATCTGATTCCTTTCAGCTAACTGTGCATTAACCCAGAATATATTTATTCAGTTCTGTGGCTTACCATATTGCAACATCTTCCCAAATGAATCTTACATCTGTACATCTTTATTTCCATTATTAGAATGATGCACTTTAATCGCAAATCTCAACATTGTAAATGTAGAAAAATGTTACTGGCAGTAACATTTTCATTCTGTTTTTGAAAATTGGTGGTGTCCCAATCTATTAAAAAAAATTACAACAAAATATTTAACCTCTGACTAACTCAAGTACAACAGTCAAATCCAGTTCATTATTTTTGTGCAAAAAAAATTACCCAGCATCGTACAAATAATCATCACATGTACCCCAATTTTGGGAAAACATTATATTAAAAAAATTCACTATTTAAACTAGGTAGGCTGCACTGATTTTACAATTGTTATACAAGCTTTTGACTACAATCCAGTGACCCTGGTTCAAAAGTGGATACAGATGTTGGGAGAGAATGGGATTAGGCTGGATAGTAATGTTAAATGTAAAATTGCAGAGGTCTGGCAATTTATATAGCGCTTTTCATAAAAGTAGCATCTCGGAGCGCTTAGCAGTGGTGTATAGTTTGATCTGAGCTGGAAGAGAGGGGAGGTGCTCAAAGGCATGTCAAAGTGTTCTGGTGTGATTTGAAAATGGGCAAAGAAGAGGCAAGACAGAGGGATTGAGGCAGTGAGTTCGGGTTTCGTGGCATAGTAGCTGAAAGTACAACAGCCAATGGTGGAACAGAGGGAATAAGGGATGTCAGAAGACCCAAGCCAGCTGAGTGAAGTTGGCGGGTAGTGGAGTGTGGTGTGAGCTGATTGGAGAGGTAGGGAGGTGCCAAGGCTTGAACTGATTTGAGTGTGATGATCTTGAAATTGATCGGTTCTCAATCGTTCAGGGTGCTAATGGTGTGGGGTGATGGGGGTGTGGAGACGGTACAGGTGAGGCTATACGCGGCAGAGTTTTGCAGCATTTAGACCTTACTTTGTTGCTACTTATAGTGGATAGAATTTGATGTTACTTATAGTGGATCTGGGGAGACTGATGAGGACTGAATTGGAAAAATTGAGGTAGGAAGCAAATGAAAGTGTGGATGTGGAAATACACAACAAACACCTTTAAGAGAGGAAGAGGTAAGAGGATGGATTAAAAAAAAGTTGGAAAAATATATATTCCACATGAAAAAACTGGCTCGTTTTCACTGTGCAAAATATTCTGTGCTCTCTCCTTCCAGCTGCTGTTTCAAACTCACAACAAATGAAATCCACAAAACAGCATGATTTAAATCAATATTTGGATTCCAAAACTGTGCCTGAGTTGTGTAAGATAATGTAGAAACTGCAACCCCCACAAGATATTAGTTTACAAAATGTTGTGTTGAAGTAAACTTTCTCACAAATTGTACTAACTGCATGAAATCTCTGTGGCAGTGCATTTCGAAACAACTTCCAAAAATCGTATAAAATTAAATAACTTAAATTTACATTTCTTGAACATAACCAAAAGCTATTAAAACAAAGCTTTTTAACCAAAGTATCATACACCAAATTAAATAAAGTAAACAAAGCTCATTTGCCAAAATCTACTTCTAATAGATTAATCAAATTTCATTGTGCTGCATTAAGAAGTCATCTTAGATGCAACAGACATCTTTACAATGATTAATATTCATGTCAGTGCAATTGAAGCTTGTTACTTGTTAACATCAACCTACAGAAATTAAACCCCAAATAGCTGCAAATCAACAGAAATTTGAAGCAGGTGGGTGGTAAGAGAAAGGAAGAATAAAGATGACTCTCTTTAAACATGTGAAAAAAATGAAAGGCAATGTCCCACATATTGATTTTTTTTCCGTGTTATGTTCACAGTGAGAAGAATCATGCAGAGGTTGAATGAATGAGGAAGAATGATTTGTTCCGAATCCAATTATTTAGCAAAAACAGAAAAAAAGTCATTTATATGCAACTTATGACTTAAGGACTGAAGATGTTAGCCTTTTAGCTATAATAAATAAGTATTGATAAACTACTTTTGTAGGTGTGGTCATTGAACAAATAGTATGTAACCTTGGCTGAAAGTAGTAGTTTATGAAAGGAACCACCTTATAAACAGCTGTTAGCACTGATAAGTCTTTTGTTATACATTGGATAATTGTGGAGTTTTAGACATGGGCAATTCAAGTAAAGCTTGCACTGTGGTCCCCACTTTCACCAGTCCTCTTTCTTCCAATATATGATGAGGAAGACAAAGTTTGTCCTGAAACAAATAAAAAGAATTAATTCAAATAGTATAACACTGGATTTAATTAAATCTGGACTAAATTAAAATGGTAGTAGATTCTTTAAATGTTCATCCCTGCCAAATTTTTGCAATATTGTGCTTTACAGTGGATACAAGCACTATACTAGATATTGCTCACATTAGTTTTCACAATATTATTTAACTACCGACCTTTGAAATTGATCACAGGTCACTAAATGACACCACTTTACTATTATTTTGAAGGAGTTGGAAGTTGTCATTAACCACTATGTAGGGGGTGTACTTTACAAAGCCGAGTTTCTCCCTGTGTCCTGTCCAACAATTCCTCATAAAATTGGTGACTTACTTCATGGCTGTGTGGAACATTGCTGTGCCACATTAGCCTACAAAATACAGCCACTGCACATTCACAATATAATCCCGTGAAGTGTTTTGAGACATCAAAACAGGATGATGGGAACTGCAAACTTGATGATGGATTGTCTAGTAACTCTCTCCCTAATTGATCTATCCACTTTAATCCAGCCTTCAATAAATCTTCCAACGTGAGCCACTTGTGTCAGCACTGCAAAAGCTGTTGGAACTTTCTTCGTATCAATTAACCAGCAACACAGGAAATAATATATTATTATGACAATACCTCGGGCACTCCTAATTTTCTACATGCCTCGAGAAAATTTTCAACATTCCTTCTGCACTTCGCCATGCTCAGTTTAGGCTGGAAAATAAAGAAGTCATACCGAGTTAATTAGGGTTCTTTTGTCCAGATGGCAACAAAGATTCCGTAAACAATCTCAATAAAAAACCTAAAATAATATTTTTGAACAAAAGTTTTGGAGCACAATATAGCATTTGTTATAGAAAGGAAGCAGTGATGCCAAAATGTAAAACTCAAAACAATATTATTGTTCAGTTAATTAATTCACCAGGACATCATAAATAATTCATCAGTTATTCACAAGCACATGTGTTCTAAGTTTTGTTTCTTTATCCCATTTAACATACAGTCCCCTCTGAGGAATCTCTTTTTGAGACTGAAAAGTGCTAACTTATTTAGCTGTTCCCCATAAATGCTCTTTGAGCACTACTAACGTTAGTAGAGATATACACTTTAATTTACGCTTAAATCAAGTTTCCAAAATAAAAGCAGATGACCTCCTTTTGCCAATTATAGTTAAATATCTTTTAAAGTTATATGTAAATAACAGTTACTACAGTTGTTTATCAAAGGAATGTCGTCACAGGGGGATATTGCTCATCCATATGGTTGAACTTAAGATGTTGGAAGTCCCCTTTCGATTTATAGACTGAAGAACAGGTCCTGTTCATATGCAAGTATAGAATGGTTTAGCTGTAGCTGAAGAGTGAGAAAAAATATATTTGTGCTACATCTTTCATACTCTAGGTAATGTAGACTTACCACTGCTGGTGATGGTACGTGGATACTGGCTACCGAACGTGGCCGAATGTGATTGGCAAGATGGCAAAGCACCACTCCATCCATTAATGCTGCACCTACATCTTCTGGCAACATTACTTTCAATCTCATTTCAAGGTTCTGTTTAAGGAAAAAAAGATTTAAATGTTATCATACCAAAATCAATCAATGCTAAAAACTGTTGCGTAAACAGGAATGAGAACAGCAGTCTCATGAAGCATTCAAATTGCTCCAATTGAGAGATCAATCAATGATAGTTGGAATTGACTGCTGTTGAGGAGAGATGACTGGCAAAGGAGCCAGTTGTCTGCCTTCTATCGGTATGTTCTAGCATCTCTTCTCAACCAGATTTCAAAAAGCAGTTTTTTTTCCATAAGGAAGCTTTAACAGTTCAGCTGTGTAGTCTTCAGACACTCAATAGCTATTCAGAAGCAGATTACCTAGGTGGCAGACTATGCTCCAACATAACAATAATAATAATCCTTGCATTTGATATAGCGCTTTTCACGTCAGGAGGACGTCTCAAAGCGCTTCACAGAACACACTGTATAGTATATTTGTGGGCAAACGTGGCAGCCAATTGCGCACAGCAATGTCCCACAAACAGTCGTAGATTGAAAATTACCAATTTATTATTGTTTTGGGGGTTTTGTTTTGGAGGGATTATTATTAGGCGTGTGGAGTAAGGAAACTTGCCCAATTCCCCTGCCTGGAATTGAACTCAGGTCTCTCGCTTGCAAAGCAAGTACTCTAACCACTGAGCTACATAAAATGCTGATAGCAATAATTTACGAGTCTGCATATTTGCGTACACTAATAGAATACTCCAATTTATTGCCCACTTCATACCTAAGATGAATAGCATTTTGAAATATTCACCTGTTTAAGATGTTTTATTACTTCCAGTTCCTCTCTTATGTGTTCCATTTTTCGTCTTATGGTAAACCCTGGATCCATTGCTCCATAGTCCTTACGAGATTGTCGGGTGAAAGCTGTTTCATGTGTTTAGGTATACACAAAAGGAAATTTTGAAATGAAATCATCTATATTTATAAATCTCTCTTCTCAGTTGTAAAGCAACATAAAACTGGTTCCTCAGAAACAAAACACAGGGAGAGGTGGTTTTAAAGCCCAGGGATAAGCACATTATTGAGAAGCGCTGTTAAAGGTTGAAAATGACTCATGGAACCATACCTAATTAAATTTTAAAAAATCAAATATTTTTAAGGGTGGAAAAAAAATCGGAGAGAAAAATTGTTGCATTTATTAATTTGGCCAACTAAGTTATAATCTATTTTTGTACATGCATAGAAAATGGAATTGCATTTTAACAAAGGAATGATTCTCAAAGGAAAGTATGGCCTCTTTAGAATAGAATGAAGCCTTACCAGATCTAGGCTTGAGACCAAAAGGTATTGATGAAGTCTGGATAGAGAAACCAAAAGGTTTATCATCGTCCTGCAATTCAAATCAAACACATATTAGGATACACCGTTTTCTACACTTTCATATGGCTAAATTTTTACAACTTCATGGTATTCTCTGAATGGCTCACACATAAAGCTTTTTCAATACCTTTTCCTACTGTCCTAAATTGGCAAAACATGCACAATATTCATATCAACACTTTTTCCAAATAAAGGGTTATGGCCACGTAAAATTATTTGATTTAAAAACTAGTAGATGCAACAAAAGTACATCTAACAAAAGAACTGCAAAGCAGTATTTGACTGACCATTGAAAAATGTTAATATTCTTTGTCAAAACTAGGAAGCATGTTGCTGGTTTGAGGCAACAGCGAGGAACTCAAAAAGAGAACAAGAAGGAAAGAAAATTTATCAAAAGATCTGAAAAGAGTTGCGATGTTAAGATTACAACAATGTTTCAAAAAAGGTACGAGTTTTAGGGATGGTTTCTCTTTCTAATACATTTTCTGTTTAACCTACAAGGAAACATGAAACTGAGACAATAGCAGCAGCAGCCATTCGGTCAGGTAGTGAGGACTTCTCACTAGTAAGAGCTCAAACTTGCACTTTCAGATGTCAAATGACCAACCAGTGACCATCCCGGGGTGGGGGGGGGGGGGGAGCAGAGTCTCCTTTCGAGTTCAACTGGCTCCAAGGTGGCCTGCTGGGTAAAGGAATATCAGAATCAAATTCATCCTCTGTAGTCCAGATGTTTTTTGAGCCACATGGATCTGCAGTACTCAAGAATATGATGACAGACCAGCAGCTTGGCTCAGCCACAGGACTTGGAGGGCCAGACTTACTCGAGGCGGTGATTTTTCCCACTCAGCTCCCATTAACCTTGCAATCCAAAACCATAATGGGTAGAATGGTGCGAGCTGGACAAGCAGTAGGAAGCTTGCCAGATAATGCTTTCAATAATAAGCAGTTTTAGCTGGTTAAACTGCAGCAGTATCCCTGCACACACTGTACCCGAAGCCATGGCTCTTGCCAACCTGTGCCTAATCTTCCCTGAAATTAAATACACTGGATACATTGGACAGAATATGCATTTCATCGTGGAACACTGACATTTGCACGTTTGGGTGGCATACTTGGGACTGATTTGGATTCTCTTACTCATTATGATGGGTTCAGCGTGAACAGACATCAAAAAGAATTCCTACACGGATTCCATAATTAATGAGTTTGGCAAGATTGAGATGAAGAATGACAAACACAGCAACAATACCTCAAATGAATCACTGGGTATGATCTGAACTGGAGGATGTGAAGGTATGAATGATGTTTCGTCATCTGGCTAATGGAATGAAGATTGAAGATTTAATGCTAAGAAAACAAAACATCCTTGCATTTGACATAGCGCCTTATCACATCGTCTCAAAGCGCTTCACAGGATATACTGCAGTGAATGGACTGTGTATTTTGTGGTTGGAACATGTAACCTTTTACTAAAACAAATCCATGTTATATCCTTACATACCTTCCTTGTAAAGCAAATTGGCACAACCAATTATGAGGTGTTTACAATATCAAGGAATGCAAATTCATAAAAACAACAAGATTACATTTGTATAGCGCCTTTCATGCCTTCATACAAATTACATTTGTATAGCGCCTTTCACGCCTTTGAAGGATAGGGAGCCAGTGGAGTCAGGGGAGAGTGGGGGAGATGGGGTCACGGAGATTGGTGCAGGAGAGGACACGGGCTGCAGAGTTCTGGATTATCTGCAGTCTGTGGAGGGAGGAGTTGGGAAGGCCGACAAGCAGGGAGTTTGCATAGTCGAGCCAGGAGGTGATGAAGGCATGAACAAGAGTTTCAGCGGCCTAAGGGGTGAGGTAGTAGCAGAGTCAGGCGATGTTACAGAGGTGAGGGAAGACAGAGCGGGTCATGGCTTGAATATGGGGGAGAAAAGACAGTTGAGGGTTGAACAAGACACCTAGGTTCCTGACTGGCTTGGTGAGTTGTAGTGTGCAACCATGGAGGTTGATCCTGCCAGAGCCTGAGGTGCTGAGGCGCTGGCGCGAGCCAATCATGAGGGCCTCAGAGTTGGAGTCATCTCTTAATCTGACTTATTACTAATAAAAACATGATGATTCAGTGGTTTAACTGATATTATATATACAAAGTTTATTGAACATACTATGAAAACAATCTTGCTTCAGACCATCTGGCTTTATACCCAAAATTCCAGAAAAAAATATGGCAAATACTTACTTCATTTTCAAATTCGGACTCCTCTTGATTCTTTCTGGAAGATTTTTGCTAGGAGGTTAGAGAGAAAAAGATATAGGAAAAGGTAAAAAGGCAAGTTACAAATTTAGACAAAAAAATTTACACTTTGAAATCCCTCCACAATCATGTCTCACCCTACTTCTGTGACCTTCTAAACCCCCACTCCCTCCACTCAGCAGGCACTGGCCTGCTTCACAGTACCCTGCCCAACCCCATTGAACCTTCAGCCTGTCACCCCCCACTCTCTGGAACTCCATCCCAGATTCTCCTCACCATGCTGCTTCCCTTGCCTCTTTCAAGGCCAGTCTCCTCTTTGACCGGGCTTTTGGTCATCTTCCACCCCAATCCCCTTGGCCCTCACCCCTTCCAAATCTAATCTCCAGCTCAGGTGAAAACCCCTGACTGTCCAGCACCTTCAGATATCCTGCTGAGGTGAAAGCTACTTATATAAATACAATTTGTTGTCAGTCACCCCACTGTACCCCTTCACTATACTCCACCCATTCTATTGCCCAGAGAAAAAGTATTGTATAGCTACTCCCTGAACCCTTAAACTAATTAATAAACTATAGAATATTCATTCATCTCCAATATGCAACCTTAGCTTCCTTCCCTCCAACTGAAATTCAGTCTGTACATCTTTAATCTCCAATAGTGTTGAATAGAGACTTATCCAGTTATTTCTTTTGAAGGAGTTAATCTGCACAGCATCATTGTTTTTATTGTAAATCTGTTAACTTGTAATGTTTCAATGTTAGCGACATTTCAAATTTCTCCTTGTATCATAAGGCAAATGGCATAACCAATTCCAAAGATTTAATTATAGAAACAAGTGTCATGTACTTCAGAAATTCTAAAATAATTTCATTGTTTGAATTTCATGAATGATGTTAGCAACAGAATGTCTTTATACCTTCAAATGGTCCTTTCTAAGTTTGTTATGCCGTTTTTCCTCATGATGCCATTTTACATGTTGCTGAGTCTCAGTCCAATTATGCTCTACATCGGTCATATTTTGAGATTTTATTTCAACTTTGGCAGAAGAACCTGAAAGCTGGAAGGTACACAGAAAAGCCAATCAACAGAAATGTAGTATTATATTAAAGCATTTGATTATAGCATAACATTGAGAACATCTAAAAGTTTATTTAAAGTATAGTGACGATATGTAGGTGAACACTGTACCACACCAGCGTCCCACAAACAGTCATGAAGTGAATGGCCAATTTTATCTGGTGGAGTGTTCGCAAGGACAAAAACCTTCCTCTTTCAAATAGGTGGGGTATTAGGGTGGCTTAAGATATCATCTGAAGGTTGCATCTCTGACAATGTAGCACTCCCCCAGCAGTGTCCTGGAATGTAAGTGAACCCAAAGCCTTCTGACCAAGAGGTGAGAGTCATACCAATTGAGCCAGGATGAAATGTAGACAAAATTACGCAAACTATTTAAAATGTAAAAACCAAATTCAGGAGAATTTACAGCAGATTATTATTGTAATAATCATTTGATATGGAGCTTTATCGCCTGCATGTCTCAAAATACTTCAGGATTTTCACTGTGACTACAGTGACTGTATTTGTAGTCGGACACTTAGTTGTTGGCATTGGAGAGGCTACAGTAAAGACAAATTAATAAATACAAACAGGCACTACGGTTATAAGGATAGGTTACAGAAGTGGAGACCTTTGAACTGAAGAACAGTAAATCTAGCACAGTTACAGTAACAAGAGAGTTTGATTCCTTTTACTCTGTTCCAATCCAAGGGGAGCAAAAGCAAAGGCCTGACACATTTTAACAGCTACATAGAATCGCACAAAACCTAGAACTAAATCCTAGCTAATCACTCAACCTTCCCAATGGCAGGTGACCTAATCAGAAAGCAAAATATGAATATTAAAATGGCATAATAACTTAGTGAGAAACATAGTAAGAGTTAAAATTAACAATATAGAAAATAAAAATACTACAGCTTACCTGACAGCTGAATGGGGATCCTGATGACATTATTTCATCTGCTGACCTACTGGAAGAAAAAGTCAAATATTTGTCACAAAATACATTTGGACAAAATGTACATAACACTACTGACTAGTCCCACTATAGTCAGCCTTGGCAGAACATTTTTNGTTAGGCAAAGCCACACAACAATTGTGGCCTTTCTACTTCAGTTTTCTTTCTCATCGCTGAGACTGCATTCTGAGAGTGCAAAATATTCAGTTCCCTAGCATTGAGACATCCCTCATCTTGATCAAGGCATAATTCAATTTCAACAGACAGAATGAAGTTTTATGTTAATAGATATGTTCAACAGCACACATTAAATGCAGGATTAGATTTATGTACATTAAAATTCTAAGTCACATTTCAAGGGCAACATAATCTATTTATTTGCTATTTAGAAAACAGCAGTAAATTGATATGAAACAGCTTTTAGTTAGGTCATTTAATGAAAATGTTGAAGTTAGGACAAGAGGCAGGACTGAAATCCAAATGAAACTTTCCAAAGGAATAATATAATGATGTGCTGCACCTCCTGAATTATATGTCATGGACCATTATTTAGACATAGCTAGTGGAGTACATGCTAGTGGAGCTCTGAATCCAAATTCCAGTGAAATAATATATATATATATACAAATATACACACACACATACACACACACACACACACACACACAAGTCATGATCTTAGGAGAAAAAAAACAGCACATGCCCAATACCCTAAAGTACCTTCTATCGGATTCTGATGTTTTCTTTTTTCTGTCCCTTCCATTGATCGAAGATGAATGAGTAAAGAGTCTGCAAAAATCAAAATGGCCAAAAACAACACCACCCCCTCAAAACTGTAAATATACACCTTTACGGTAAGACATCATAGTTTTAGAACTAAGCATTATTATCCTTCCGTAGGTACAAAAAGGCAGCCGGAAAAATGCAATACATTAATTTATAGTTAAATATTTAAGAAGTTTATGCTTTTACATAACATGAGTTCTCATAATAATCCAAGTAAACCTGGCCAGAAAATAAAATCTATTTACTTAAGAGTCTTGAGAATTGTTCAACCAAAACGTTATTGTAATAAAATGTTAGTTTCCATTTCTAATAAACCAGAAAATAAAGCAAATGCAATTCTTTAATTTCTCTTCCTGGCTTGTTTCGGTTTAAACATTTCTAATTACTATAGGAAAGTATTTCAACACCGAACTTTAAAAGCTTTGATATTTTTAACGTTTGGATAGTCAAAACAAAATTGGGTTGGACTGCACACATGTTAACTGAATTGATAGAATAGAAACATTGAGGGTTTTTTTTGTTTCACCCTCAACAACAGTATTTTGTTAAACAAAATATAATTGTGCTTATCAATAGGACAATGAAGGCCCCTTAATACCAAAGAAATTTAAAGAGAGAAATGGAACCGAAGTACAGTATTAAGGCAAAGTTGTAGAAAAAGAGATAGGAGAGATGGTTTGCTAACATTTTCCAAACAGTGTTCTATATAAGGCAATAGATTAGATGAAATGAAATAGTGATGTTTCTTTAAATTCAAGTAAAAAAAATCAGAAAACAGATTACTTGTATTTGCCCATCTAACATCCCATTTATCACAAAAATCAGAATACTGCAGTTTTATATAACTAATTAAACTAACTCAACTGATAAAACAGTGAGTTGATTATCTGAGAATACAATAGAAAATCAATTTAGAAAAAAAATCACAATGCCTCATGAGCCACAAATGAGCTCGACTTAATGAGCTCAATAAAAACTTTAAGAGACTATTTGAAATTGTAACTTCATTTCTATTTTATTCAGCTACCATGAGCCCAGTTGCGACAGTCAAGAAAGACCTATGCCAACATCTAAGCTGAAGAGGTTTAGTGGTAGCTGAAGTAAAGTTTAAATTATAAATAATTCTGTGAAATGAATTTGTTAAGGGCTTTTCTACTTCTGGATCTTAGCAATCAATGCTTGATTAGCAACGTTAAGCCATAACCTGAATACACTTTCAAATTTAAAATTCCCCAGAGAAAGAGAGTATTCAATGATTGAGGCCACTGGTTCAGTGTCATAGAAAAAGATATTAGACGGATACTGTCAAATGTTAATTCTTTGGGTTTTCTCCTGGAAATTGTATATATTCTTGTTTTGCCCTTTTCAGTTGGTTGCAACCATGGTTTGGAGCCTTCCAAACAACAATCAAATCCCTATACGATTTCACTTTTTAAAAGTGAGCATGACCACATAATTCCAGGAGCCTGAACAGTATAAGGTTAACACCAAGTTATGGCCAGAAGCTAATACAAAATCACTTCACTCTTCCTTCAGATTTACTTGGGGTACCAGAAAGCCACTTCAGAGCTCATTTTGTTCTATAAATGTACCTGGATCCTGGTCCTGTTGCCCTTCTTCTCTGGATAAAGTTTTCATTGAATGATGCTTTAAAAGTTAATGGTCTCCGTCTGTATTCATACACCATAAGCATCAATCATCCCAAATCAGCCCAGGAGTAAAAGGGATTGGGAAAGGACATGGAATTGTTAGCAACACATGAAAGGAACTAAAGACTAGGAAACTTTTTTTAAAAAGTTTAAAACATCCTAGTTGTGTTAAATTGCAAAGACAGGGGTAAACGATGCACCATCACAACCGCCCTGTGCTCTAATCTAAGTCAACAGAATTAGAAATGAGAAAGAAAAGCTGGTGGAAAGAAAAAGAAAAATATGAATAAGAGAAAAGAGATAAAGGTGTCATATTATCCTCTCAATATGTACAAATTATATCCAATTACTCATATACAATATTTACAAATAATTTAGCAAACATTTAAATGTAGTTTTAAACTCTTAACTGATCACTCTTAGGAAGGTCACAGAAGAAATAAACATGAAAAATGCACAGAATCAGTTTGTACAAATTTGATTGTATTCAAATTTGACACAAATTCCAATTTCATTGGAATGCAATTAAGCAGGCATTAAAAAAAATTATGTGCAATATAAGTAACTTACTGAACCTCTCAATTAGATACAGGTATTACAATTAAACAGCTTCATAAGATTTTTTTTAAGTCAATCAAGAAGCATAAATATATGGTCTACCTGGTTTGTGGTTCTTGCTGCAACAACTGAGCTGCTATTTTGCGCAAATCAGACACTTCTTTTAGCTCGTCGTCCTCTTGTACCATTTTCCGAAGCTCTTTAGGTCTGCAAAGTCATATCCAGAGGACATTATTTTGGCACAATGTCTACAGATATCAAGGTACAGTATGTTGCTCAAGTTAAACAGATCTAAGGAAAAAAAATCCTCATCAAGAAATTTACTACATGTGGCTGGCTGACTGTGCTCATAATAAGGCGCATTACAAGAATACTGTGCCAAAAAATTATAAATTCTCTACTATAAATAATTTTGGCAAGTCAATAGAGAACTTAGTGTGTGGTCTATACAACTGACTGAAAGAAAATTGGAAAAAATAGCAAACAACTTCTAAAATCCCCCTTCAGCTTCCAGTTTTGTTTGAAAAGAGCAGACACATGAAGTTGGACGTCAGCCTAGCAGTGTTGCTAGTTAGTAGCACTCTCATCTATGAGTCTAAAGCTTGTGGGTTTAAGCCCCAAATCAGATCTGAACTCAATCTACACTGATATGCTATGCAGCTCTGGGACTGCACTGCACCGTTAGTGGTGTCGTCCTTCAGATGAGATGTTAAATCAAGGTCTCCGTCTGATCAGGTGGACTGTAAAGATCTCATGGCATTATTCCTCAATCATCCAAATAGTCACCAAAAACACTTAAATTGCCTGCATCCTTAGTGCTGCTCTGTCTGAGATCAGTTAATTTAGAAATTATCAAGGATTCAAATCAAGAACTTCATAATCTGAATGGTACAGCTAGTCAGCAATTACAGCTCAAGCCATAAGCAGATGTTTTTCAACTTGGGTGATTGTCCTTTTCGAGGCTAAGGGTGAATGAAAAATACATTACTGTAAGATTATTTTTAATGGATGAACCATTCATATAAAGCCAGAATATTTTTATTTTATACAAAATTGAATATTTGCATTGTGTGACCTCCCTTGCACCAGTAAAAAAATTCATACCTTGGTTCACCTCCCCAGTAATCCTCTTCCATGAGCTGTGATTTTTCCGACAGCTTCCCTCGCTCCTACAAGTCAAAACATATCAGTGAAATCTGTAGTAAATAATTCCGGTGAAAACTCAAAACAGCTGCCTTGCAAATAGTCAATTTTGAAATAAAACTATCCAATATAGTGTTTGGACTACCAATAACAGGATTCCTATTGTCAATTTGCAGAATGAATTTGAACTAATTACTTTTTAAAAATTAAAATTTCCTACAAGATTTCATGCAAGTTTGTGGTATTTTGTAAGAGAAGACAAAAGAAGCTTTAAGACTATCATACTTTTAGCTATTTTTAATCTAGGTATCTGCACTGCTGCAATCTTCTGTCAGCCTAATTTAATCGACTAGAATTTGAATCATTAAATTTGTAATAAAGATAAGGATTCTTTTTTAAAGTTCAAAAGACTCGTATGCATTGATTTACTGAATAGATTAAGCCATAAAATATGTAATTAGTCACACATATGAAACCTGTTAGTAACCCTTTCTCTTTAAATTGGTGAATGTAATTTAATGAGCAAACTAACATCAGCAAATACCTACGTATTTATTATTACCCATTTAGCATGAGAAATTGTTAACCTATCACATAATAATAAGTATTACAGTGGGAAAAGTATTCAAGTGGCAAGGTCCAGAGCCATAGTTTTGATTGCGTGTGCGTGTATGTTGTGGGGCGAGGGGGTTGAGCGAAAATTATGTTTTCAGCACATCAGTCACACTGCATTATCCTTCAATGAACAAATAGCAATTCAATAAACTCAACATGTATTCTATGCACAGCTGTAAATGCCTTACTTTTATGTAAGTCACAAATTGAGCACTAAGATGCACATCTCCAGCTTCAGAGGGTGGCGTTTCCTCTTCTTCTGGATTGTTATCAATAAAGTCTACAGGTTCCTGATCCAAAGAGGCTGAAACACAAGGTAGAGAAGTATTCAAAATGCATGACAGTTCTCCCTTAAATTTTAAACGTTGTTGTGGCTTACTTTGATTTCAATTACAAAATTGTACAGATCAACAGAAAATATGTTTTTAAAAATTTTGCTTCAAAACCCAGAATGCTATCATAAAGACTTCAATTTACAAAAAGGTTAGAGAAGTTTCCAAACAGATTCAAAATCAGTTTTAACAGCTTTGTAAAAAAGTTAAATTTGAAAATCAAAGACACATCCATGATGTTCTTACTTTTCTGAGGGTCAAGTTTACTCCCTATTAAATGATTGTCTAATTTCAGAGGAAGGTCCTTGGCTATTTCAGATAGCTGAGAATGCAGGCTGATTGTATCATCATCTGACGGCTAAACAGAAACAAATGTTAGCACCGGGTCACAAAATCAGAAGAAACATTAAAACTAAATATTAAAAATTACCATTAATTATGGGTTTACAACATTTAAGATTTAATAAAAACATATTGCCCTTTAGTCTTAAATCACAATCATTTCTGAATTAATATTTTGATCCTATTGAAAGCCAGTCTTCTAGAAGAAATATTGTACAGCATCAATAACATCTGAATGCCACTGGTATAGTACAAAAAAGAGGTGCACTGGACAACACTATTTAGCATGTGCTAGGAAATGGGTGAGAATCCTGGAGAGAACAGCACTTATTCTCTACTGCCACTTGCAGGACATTGCTGCTAAAGCAGGCAAAGAATTGTGTTTAAAGATATTGTCATAACACGGATTCAGCAATTATAAACTCGCGTGGATTGCAGTAAATGCACCATTAAGCAATCTCATCTTTCTCACTCTTTTTAACATCCATTTAAAAAGGGAACAATTGGCTAAAGCCCTATACGTAGAAAATGGAACAAACCATCACTTCATACACCACCTAGGAGTACGGTACTGAGAACCAGAAGAAAACTATTTATATGAAAAGATAACACTTCTGCAAATTCTAGAAAGTATGTTTTTAAAAAATGCATCCAAATGTCTCACATTCACCAATGCATTGCTGAACTAATGACCAAGTTAACATTCAGATTTTAAACCATTTGTTAAGGAAAATGTTTTCCTAAAAAGCAAAACCTAAGCATGCCTTTCATCTTTCATAGAATATTGAACGAGAACAGCTACACAATTCCGTGGGAGGAGAGGGGAAGAGGACATTAGCACCAGACACTTGCGGGAAGGTGACAAAAAGCAGAAGTAACTCTTCCTCCAGAAGCTTTCTGCTCAAGTGTTTTGCTGCATTGACTAATTAAGAAATCTGAATTTACTTCTAGATTAACCAATGGAGTGACAATATTTTTACAATATTCTGAGGTTACTTCACACCTACCTCTGGAAAAAGAGGGGAAAACCATAAAAAGAAAATTGAGCTTAAGTAATTGGTTGAAGAACTCACTTCAGTGGTGGATAACCGTTTATCTCCATTATCACTACCAATGCCCGAGTCAGGGCCATGACTCTTAGCTGGATAAAAGTCTTCCATGCTGAAAGATAGTGATTAAAAAAAGTTAGAAAAGCTAAGTCTTATCTCTTAATACAATAAACAAATTATTTATAATTCAAGCTAGTCCAGAAAATAAGCTATCAATCCCGTAATACAGAACAAAGAAAATACCGATTATCCAAGGTATTACTATCAACATTGTTCCTCCAAATTTTCCTCACAATCTCGATAAAGCACATTACATGACCCCTGGCAGAGAAGACAAGTGTTGTTCTATTCCCAACTCCTCATCAATCCCACATTGTGTAAACTTGTCAAGTCATTTTTAACAAACTTAATATTGTGAAATTCCTAACCTCATAGTTTTCCCTTTATCCCACAAGTTTTTAAAATTCAAGCTTGGAGCCTATTAAACTATTTACGTTTCTCAGTTACTTTCTCCAAATTTTGTTGTGTAACGTAAACATTATGGGCATTGATCATTCACCTAGATTCTCAATTCAAAGAAAACCCTCTGCATTTGTAAATTCTGTTCACATCTAAGCTACTATGCCTTGACTGAGGCATTATTAAGTCACCTGTCCGTGAGAGGTTGAGGAAGTGCTCGCTTATCCAAAGATGGAAGGTCCAGGGAATCTGGCTTCTTGTCTATTCTACATGATTGGATGTTTAGATATTTGAACATGTGCACTTTACCCTTCAGACAAATCTGCAGAAAATTAAAAAAATTATATTTTCACACAATTGAATTCAGTACATGTACAGTAATTCAACAACACAATCTTCAATTCAACTAAAAAAAGTTCTTAAATTGATATCAAATAAATGTTCTGAAAAGTACACATACTTGATAATATTATACAAACCTGAGCTGGAGGAGATTGCATTGGGTTGTTATCTAATATTATAATCTGAAGATATCTCAGCTTTCTAAAACAGATGGGTATTTCTGATACTTTATTGCAGGAAAAATCTAATTTTACCAGAGGAAGTTCTGCTAATTCTGGAAAAGAGAGAAATATATCAGTAAGCACTTGAAATAATGTTTTAGTCTTTTGGAGTTGGGTTGAAGAAATGTATTTAAATATTATCTCCTTACCCTCAGGCAACACTTGCAGATGATTTCTTCGTATATTTAATTCTCTGAGCGAATGAAGTTTTCCCATTTGTTGAGGAAGAATTTGGATTTCATTACAGCTAACATCCTATGAAAATACAAGTTTTTTTCATTTATATATAATGATTTGGACTAGAACATTTTACAAATACATGTACAATTTGACATTTTCATAAAGGCATATATAAACAAAACTCAATGTGTACATTTACATTCTGTCTTACTGAAGGGAGCGGTTTTAAATTTGTCTAGTAGATTTGAATTCTGCACATGGATGAATGAATCCATTTTCTAATTTGCTAAATTAATAGGTTTGGAGATGTGCCAAAATGCATCAAGTAAAATATGAATGAATACTGATAATTATGAATAATAGACTGGCATACAAACAGATCTGGGAGATTTCTTTTGTGACCCTCTATGTTGAATGAAATACTCAAATTAAACTTCACAACTGATTTCAGAAGCAACATTAAGTCAAACATTTATTCAATTATTTTATTCAATGACAATCATTCCTAAAAGTTTAAACCTTTTTGGTCTATAATTCAATGTACTTGTTACATTCAGACTTAAAATGACTGAAGTGATACACAAATAATTCCATCTTTCAAATTTAGCTAAATTTATTGGATTTAAAATATTTAAGCATCTATCACAAGAATAAATTTAATAAAATAATGAAGTACCTTTGGCACTTATTCAATTATGTTAATTTGCACTTACCAATTCCATTAGGTCTTTAAGTTTTCCAATTTCTTCTGGAAGGGAGACCAATTTATTGTTGCTTAAAATTAAAACTTTAAGTGGAAGATTAAAGAGGTACTTTGGCAATGTTGATAGGAGATTTCGACTTCAAATAAAGAGAAAAAGAAAAATACATTCAAATGCAATAATGTCTAATACAAAATTAAGACATTTTGTGTAGCCATTAGTAGTGGGGAACACCAACACAATGCTTAAACCATAAAGGCACCAACATGTTTTTAGTGCCTTAAAACGTTCATTTGGAGAATACCATGAAGGTCTAAAATGGGCAATGCTCTAGGGTAGTCCCCAATATTAAAATAATATCGCAGGAAAGTCAAGAAATGTGGTATGAAGAAAAATATTTGATTTATTTTATTGAAACAACTAATCACAACAACAAAAAATTACATTTGTATGTCACCTTTCACGTCAGGATGATGTCCCAAGGCACAGGACAATCATGGATTTGGACCAGAGCACAGGAATGGGATTAGGAATAGTAGGGTGACTGAAGGCGCGGTCGAAGAGGAGGGTGCTTTGAAGGAAGCAAGAAAGGGAGAAAGGCGAAACTCCAACTATGAGTTGGACTTCCAAAGGGTGGTGGTAAAGAGGCTGAAGGTCCAACCGCCGACGGTGGGGCGGGCCGGGCGGGGGATGTGGAGCCTGCTGACCGCATGGAGCAGACAGTTTGAGATGGCTTTAACAGGTCATGGAGGTAGGAAGGAGTAAGGCCGTGGAGGGATTTGAAGGCGAGGATTTCAACTCTATCCTCTGGGAGATGGGGAGCCAGTGCAACCAGGCATGGGTGGGAGTGATAAGGTCAAGGAGGTTGGTGTGGGAGAGGACACAGGCTGCAGAGTTCTGGATAATCTGCAGCTTGTGGAGGGAAGAGTTGGGAAGACCGACAAGCAGGGAGTTGGCGTAGTTGAGCCCAGTTAAAAATCAATTTTTGTGACAAAATCTAGTTCACTTATATTTGTGTCAGCGTGGAGAGTGGTAGCACTTTTGCCTCTGGGTCAGAATGTTGTGGGTTCAAGCCCCACGTCGGGATTTGGAATCACATAGTTTAAGATGACACTCCAATGCAGTGCTGGGGGTGTGTTGGATTGTTAGAAGTGCCATTCTTCAGATGAGACCTTAAACTGAGGCCCAATCTGCCTGTTCAAGTGGATGTTAAAAATCCCATGGCACTAACTGAAAAGGGAAGGGAGTTTTCTCCCGATGTCTTGGTCATCAAATCACCCAAATAAAATTGATCACTCAAACCATGGCTGCTTTGTGGGACATCGGTGTGCATAATTGGCTGTGTTTGCTCACAAAATACAGTTAATGCACTTTACAGTATATCCTGTGAAGCGCTTTGAGATGTCTCGTCGACATGATAAGATGCTATAGCAAATGCAAGGATTATTATTAGTAGCTGATGAATTTAATAACAGACCTTAACTTGTGTGTATATTATATATATACACAATTCAGTTACAGAAACATTTGAATACTTACCTAATATTTAAGAATGTTAACATTTGTAGATTAACTACACTTTCCGGAATGCATTTGATGCAGTTGTGGTATAAATGCAATGTTTCCAATGGTGCAAAAAGACAGACTTCTTGTGGAATTTCAATAAACCGGTTCTTCGAAAGATCTAAAAGAGAGAAAAATGAAATGCAGCATTTATAGAACTGACTGCTATTGTCAAAAATTGTGCTTGTAATTCATATTTTTATGCCAAACTCAAATCTTTAAAAAATTAGTTTATTTGCATTTCAGTGTCTTAAAACTCAATTGACATGCCTAACACTGCAGGTAACACACAACATATTTGTGTTATAACAGACTTCAATACACTGCATTGATTGTGAGTGCCTTTGTGACAAAACCAATTTGTTTCTTGTAGTCATTCTCCCTATACTAAAATAAAACCGTGCCTCTTTAATGCAGTTCAACAATGTGCTGCTCTAAGAGCCATTTACCACACTGACCTAATTTATTATGACACACACGGATAATGCTTTACTCTCCAGCTGTATAAGGTGACCTATTTATAAAAATAAGATGTTTGAAACATCAGCCTCAGTTTTCATCAAAGCATGTCAATATGTCAATTGCATGTGCAATTACATTTCTTTATTTTATGTGAAGCAAAAAATTTAAAATAAATATGTACATTTTAGAATGTTACTGGCAAAATGACACTCTTGGTCCTCAAAAGGCACTTGACTTGAATTAATATTTGGACTGGAGTGCAGGGTTCCCAACTTTATTAAAAATGCACAATATACAGAAGGAGAAGTGCATTTCAAGTGTTGTCTTACACAGAAAGGACAATGGTGTAGGAAGAAATAAAGACAGGTGTTGCATCTTCCACACCTGCAAAGTGTTGGGGTGGGAAGAGACAATGTTTGGAGTGGTGGAAGATTAAACATGCCTATCACACAGGGAGAGAAAGTAGCCACCGTAACACTGCAGAAGATAGACATTAATCTTTCCGAGATGAAAAGTGGGAAAAATAATTATTTAAGCAGTTGAGGAGGCTGTAAGGTTTATAGTAGATGTCAATGGAAAGCCTGAAGGCTTCCATCAGCATCTATTATAGCAGATGTTATATTGTACGACCAAGTTTAGAACTCAAATGTAAGAGTTATTTCACATTATAACTGTAATAGATTTATTTTTATTATAGCAAATGGAATGCGCATATTTACCTATTAATCATTACGATATCTGCAATACCATGCACTGATATTTATTTAGGCTTGAATTTAACACAAATCTCCAATTGTAAAAAATGTGGGAAGAAAAATAGCAGATTTTTCAAGAATTAAAAGATAAATGAAACATTCAGTGTAATATTAACTTCAAGATACAACACAAATAATTGCTTCAGTTGTCAACCTTTAACCCTTACAGGAATTTGCAGGCATCTGTGGAATGCTGCCAAGCATTAGTTATAATTGTCAACATTATCACAAGAATCAAAGACCTTTTGACGTGGTACCAAAAATACCATGAAGTTACTTATCCCCTGCATGTAGCATTCTTCAATTCTATAACATCTATTAATAAAACTCATAGTTATAGTTAATATTTGCATTAAGTGTATTCTGGGGAGAGAGTGGAAAAATTTTAATTTTTTTAGGTTATCTCAGTTTTCAATACTTCAGAGTATGGAAACCACAGGAATGGTCTCAAAATGAAATGCATCCCCCATGCCTCACTCCTTCTTCCATTTCAAAAAATATCTGAAGACCTATCTATTTCAGCTTGCCTTCGAATAGTTCTGAAATTGGGCTCCCGCTCCATCTTTGTAAAGCATTTTGAGACATTTTCCCTATGTGAAAGTCCAAATAGTTCTTTTTTTGTCTTTTGCTGTACAGGTGACACCCTAATCAATTGGCATTTTTCTTTGAAAATTCATTAAGCATTGTTTTATGCACTGCAAGACATTCTAATTGCACAGAGCACATTGTATTTAATACCTACAGTACAACAGATTTATTCTTATTAGATTGAAAAATGGAACTTATCAGATCACCTTTCTTGATGATGTGATCAAATGTTCAAAATATATCCACTATTTCCTTGAATCTATCCAAAAATTACCAATCCACACCAACTAGAATGAATATACATCGTAAACATCTAGTGTGTGTAAACCGACTTTAAAGTAATACTCATCTATTTTCAAAGCAACATTTGTTTTTCAACATTAGGTAAAATATTTACACAAGCTCAGGATGTTTTCAGGAGGCTTTCAAAACAAATAGGTTTAATTTGCACCAAAGTGTGAAACGTGTGAGATATATTACAGATTTCATTAACACTTAATTGATGCTGTGCTCATGTTTTTAGTGTCAAAAGATTCATTAGCACTGACCAAGTATCTTCAAGTTTTGAATTTTGCAAGGAATACACTGTCAAAAATTATTAAAGATCCATGTATGGTGCCAATATACAGAATAGTCTATGGTCCTTCTCTAGTTTTGTCTCTTGGCCCTTTTCTTAGGCTTTTTACAAAAGATCCTGGGAATTAGAAAGAAAAGATAAAAAAGAAAAGGCACTGAAGCGGATTGTTAGATTACAGTTCAATCTTCACAATGATGAATGGTTCTGAATCAAATGTATTGTCTCAGCTGTTACTATTAGACGAGCTTGGGGAGAAAAAGCCCCTTGAGCTTCCTTCTGCAAAGCTCTTCTGATGAAATATCCAAACTGAATGGTTTCATGTAATCCATTTGTACCATTTATAGGCCTGCTCGCTATGCCTCCTGGTCATTCTTCCTCTTCTCTCCACCCACCCCCCTCCAAAACTATAGACCGAATCTGCTCAAGTACAAACAAAAAAAATTTCCTTGCTGACCAATATTTCAACACAACTAAAAGGTATTATTGTTAAATAAGTAATTACAGAAATCAGACACCAAAATATTGTCCTTTTTATGTTATACTGCACTCTCAATCTAAACAGTTCAGATTTGTTTTTATCTCTTACCTTGAACAACTAGTCCTAGATTGTTTCATATCTTTGACAATTTTAATTTTATGTACAGAAATGTAAACAAAATGGAATCTGTCCAATTTTGACTATGAGCTGCAGACATTAATATCCCAAATTAATTTTTTTTATGATGACTTTGCCGTCTTCTGCACGAAAGCATGACCACATCTCTAAACCAGTTTTGCTTACCATTCTGATAACTCCAATGCAACTCAATATAAAAAGCAGCAAAAAAAAACATCAAATACACTACTTGATGGGCTGTCACTCCTCAACTAATTCAACTCCAGGATGGCTATAAATTCAGTTCAAACAGGCTACCCCTTAACTAGGATAGCCTATTGAATGCAAACCCAAATTTAACAAATTCCAAGTCCACCTGATCTGCAAGGAAGCCTGCTCATGAATGCAGTCAACATATCCCTTCCCTCGTCTATTTGGTCTGGAATTAATCTTACTGCTTCTTTTACCATATTATTTTGAACATCGATTTAATATATAGCTTCATTTCAACATCTTAAAATGTTTAACTCGAGAATTTTACCAGAATAAATTATGACTGATACAATTCTTAAAACTCTTACTCTTCTGTCTGAAAGGGCAAAGCTGAGGGCAAATAAATGTTTGTCAAATCAGACTCATTTTGTATAGCTCTAATTCCTTATGGGAGAGAGAGAAAAAAAAACTCTAAACGTATTTTCAGCCTTCACCAATTGTACTATAGAAAACAATGTTTGTGTTCCCTTGACTATATATTTCCATGCAATGTGCTAGTCCCTGAAATTGCATGCAATCATTCTAGGAAAAAAAANCTTTGATTTAGCTATGGAATATCCATCCTATCACTGGCAAAATTCACAACAGTTATATTTTGTGGAACATGATTTAGCTTCCATTTTCAGTATTACCTAGTGACGAGGACATATGCCCAAAACAGCTATAAAGCAAATGATAAATTTAAAGATTTCAGCAATAGCCAACTGTAGAAACAAGCAGCAATTTGGTAAAAATAGCAAGCAAAATTTGATCTACTGTGGTAATGGTTTTCTGAAGCTATCGGATGTATTCATGCATTCAGTAACATCTTGCTCAGGGTGTTACACTGTAATACCAAAAATACCCTGAACGGATATTCAGAAGGAAGTGGGTTAGAAAACCTAAGTACACTCAAACGTATAGCATACTTTCTAAGTGGAATAAGTAATCAAGGTATGCTAAAAGATTGTCAAGAAATCCAGAAATGAAAAATAGTAGTAAAAATGTTCATTATTTAATACAAAGATACAAGTTAGCACTTTGCTTTGTCATAACTTTGCTTGCTAGAATTTCCTCTAGCTTAACGAACTATGTTAGTTTGTTGTCCTGGCTCTAACAAGAGTATACAGTGCAAGATCCTGGTCCTCACCTTCAAAGTCCTCCACGGCCTTGCTCCTCCCTACTTCTATGACCTCCTAACCCCCTACCAACTTGTCCGCTCCCTCCGCTCAGTGGGCATCTGCTTCACGTCCATTACCTTGCCTGCCCCACCATTGGTGGGTGGGCCTTAAGCCTCTCTGGAATTCCATCCACTCCATTGCCCCCTCCCTTGCCTCCTTCAAGACCCTCCTCTTCGACCGTGCCTTCAGTCACCCTCCTGCCCCTACCCTTCCCGACCACAACCCTCCTGAACCCAACCACCAGCTTGGATGCAGATCCCTGACTGTCCAGTACATTGGGATGTCCTCCTGACGTGAAAGCTATGCAGATATAATTTGTTGTTGTTTTGCTAATCGACTTTCTTAAAGATACACAAATATAAATCTACATTTTAGATAAGCTCCTCAGAACAGTTCTCAAAAGTAGACATTTGAATAATGATGTCAGGGTAGATCTGTTCTTTTGCACGTACCACAATCACTAAATACTCATCTACTTTGCAAGGTTTGTTTCCCAATTTGGCACAATCAGCTAGCAATGAAAATCTACATACTGATAATAGTCAGCCTAAAAACACATTTAGATATTACTAATGTTTGGCTATCTAATGCCCCACCACGGAAGTGGCTGAAAACTACTGTAACTTAATGTTGAATTAACTGTGCATGTGAATACTTCGGTATCAAGAGAATACTGTACCTCCCGGTAGCTTGTATATCTGAAATATTATT